ACATAATAAGCTCATACAAATATCACCTCATACAAATCTTTCGAATTACAAGAAAACATATGCTTGTTGGGTTGGAAAAGTGGGGGTCATCTTGTACATGGGGGCGTCTTATTGACGGAAAAATACGGTAATTCACATCTCAAGTCAATATGATACTGCTACTTGTAACACTTCTGCATGACAGGCCCAGTGGTTTATGTAATACAAAGTAGGCAAAGCAGTACCAGTTGTTACAAAGATAAAAAACCATGCACAATATTTCACTCACAGAAATAACTCTCAAACAATATAAAAGGCACACAACTTATCCAAGAGCCTAGAGATTCAAGCGTCTGAAGCTACTCCAGATAAAACCAGAAAATGTCAAGTCCACTTCTAACAATGTTAAAATGTTCCACTCTCTTCCCAACGGAATACAAGCAACAATGTCTCTTCTCCCTCCCCTCATTGCTAAATATGGAAATAAATCTCCATCACAGGCCTTATCCTTCAATATTACTTGAGAGGAAAGCAATCCATATTTAAGATTACGCCCTCCAAAGGAATAGGCAGAAAACAAAATTAGATAAATAAAAATCCTATGGAGCTTGTTATCCTAGGGTTGCCAACTGCAACCAGTCTTGGATATTTCCTTTCCATGAAATGTGTGAATGTGTCGTATTTGTATATGCACATGTGTACACAAATATCTGCCCAAAACTATATTCATAAGTTATTAATTACTGATTAAAATTAATTTGCTATAAAGAAAGATATCTCACTTATCAAAATAATTGCACACCACCTATATGTACCAACTGTTCTCTCATATACTGAAAGACACACATACCCCTCCATTCTTGCAGCAGGGGAAAAAAAACAAGATGCAGAGAAAAAGGAAAAGGAAAGAAGGAAAAGGAAAAGGAAGAAGCCTAGTTTAGAATTTACAGAATGAGTTAAAATTCACTGGGCAAAATATCTTTCCCAAACAAATGCTTCAAAGATACTCAGCAGAGATGTTTCTACTTTTTGCCCATTTCTTTTTTGCAATAGTCTCTATTCTTATCAATGGAGGTAAAATACCTCCCATACAAACCTCTTTGGAATTCTGTCTCTTGTTTTAAGAATACTGAATACAAATATTAATAATTGGAATGACCATCCACAATATTTTAGAATTTACTCTATGATTAGACTCCCCCTGCTTTATAAAACTGCTATTATTACATGAAACTCTAACTGAACAGGTGGGAACACTGCCTGATTTAGTTCCATTTTACAATGCATTTTTTAAAAAGGATATGTTGATGCATAACACATATTTTAATCAAATTTTTTTAGAAAAGTTATAATGAATGTAATTGTTTATATAGTGCACCTATGTTAAGTGTCTATGACATTTAGTGTGACTTAGAAAAACTAAAGAGATGACTGTCTTCAATTTCCAATATTTCAATAAAGCAAGAGACAATAGCTTCTTCAAAAGGCCTCTGTGGCATATTCAACAAATGGAATTAGAGTAGGGGAGACAAAAAGAGTAGCACTGGGAAAGTCCTATCCCCAACCTTTTGATATTACTGTAGGATATTCCACAACGTTGGGACTCTTGATTAGTGCTGGATTCCCCAGTACAAAGTCCCATGAACACATATAGAAAGGGATACAATCTCCTGCTTCCCATACTATTCATGTCTTGTGCATGCAAAGCTTTAATAATCTTAACATGAAAAGAGGTGACATAGGGATGTAAACATGAACAAGCTTACTAGCTACACAGTCTTTTCTAAATACAGTAACTACATCTAAACTACATTTACTGCAAAGGTGAACATGCTTCAGATTTATACAGGTAGTCCTCAGGTTACGACAGCAATTGGGACCAGGATTGCTGCCACTAAGTGATGCGCTCGTAAAGTGCAATATCATGGGACTGCATCACTTAGCAACAGTAATTCCAGCAGTCCCAGTTGCTGTTGTAACCCCATGACTACATGGGTCATTAAGGGGGAAAAGGTGGGAGCCCCAGGTAAGGAGCACAGGGGGGTGGGAGTGCATTGGCAGGCCACCAAGGGCTGTGGGCAGGCACTAGGTAGCACAAATGGGTCAGTGAGGGCCACAGGTGGGCACTGGGGAGTGCAGGTGAGCCAGCGGGGGCCGTGGATGAGCACACACTATGGAAGGACAGGGGCTGGGGAGGCAGCAGTGAGGGACAGAGGAATACAGCGGCATCTTCATCTTGACCATGCTGTGCAGGACAGCCAAAAGGGCAGAGATGGGAGGTGACAGGCAGATATCCCACCTGAGCCGCCTTCCAGGGTGGCAACAGTGATGGAGAACTCCGCGGGGTTCCCATCCAAGGTTGTACCCATCGCCTGCGCGGGTAGTGGAGCTGGTGCTGCTGTTGTCCACACTGGTGCTTGGCTTGCAAAGTCCATCTACATCCAGTTCCTCTGGGATTGCCTTGGTGCGGGCAGCGGCCCCAGGGGTAGAGAGGCCACCAGCAGCTGTCTCACAACACTGATTCCAGGCAGCAGGTGTGTGCATCCATTGCTTCAGTGTCTCCTTCCCCCCTTGACACTTCCCTCTTCCCTACTGCAGCCCACAGCACTTGTAAGGTGGAGAGCCACTCCTCTTTCTGCTCCCGGATTTGCAAGGGTAGACTGCCCTTGAATAGGGACCTCTTCTGACCAGGCCGCCCTACAGCCTACAGACGCCGCAAAGAGGGTAGAGAAAGGCCAGGCAAGGGAGGATGGTTGGGTCCCGGAGACAGTACCATTTCCAGATCCAGCCCGATGTTGGGCCCTTCCAGGGCCAGGGGAGTGGGGGAGACAGTGTCCAAGAAATGGCTCTTTTCCTGGCCTGTGCCTGCTGATTACTCCAAGGACAGCCCTGTGGGTTAGACTCTTTCTGCTAAAAGGATTTCTAGGCTGTTGGGGGTGGCAGTGGCAGAATACAGCAGCCTCTTCGTCTCAGCCATGCTGTGCAATGTGGCCAAAAGGGCAGAGGTGGGGGGGGGGAGAATGGCAGGGGGCGGAGTCGGAGGCAGTTTGCGCAGGGGTGGAGAACGTGACCACAGGACTCTGCAACCGTCGTAAATCTGGGCTGGTTGTTAATTGCCAGAATTTTGATCACATGACCGTGAGGATGCTGTGATGGTCGTTAAGTGCAAGGACCAATCGTAATTCCATTTTTTCAGCAATGTCGTAACTTTGAATGGTCGCTGAACCCAAGGACTACCTGTACAACTAAATCTAGATAAACAGCAATTAAATGAGGCAAGGCTAGAACTGCAGAATTCAATGCCTGGGCACATACTCAATTCAAGAATTTATCTTTAGGATCAGAACTAAAACTGGAAGCAAGAATGAAACAGTGAAAAAGTATCTCCAGTCAAAGGAGGAGGAGAAGGAGGAGGAAGAGGAGGTGGTAAGAGGTGGGAAAGAGCTTGCACACACATTCTTTCACATGCAAATTGATTCTAAATTCTATTTGCTCTCACTCCCAGTTTCTACATTCCCTGCACTAAGGCTAACCTTTAACATATGCATCGGGGAGAGGAATGTAGAATGACAGAATAGCTTCCTGCCTTCACTATTCTGTGATCCACAACTCAGCAGACCAGATCACTATTACAAGGCAATACTACACCAAAGTGCAAGGAATGGGGGAAAATGTTTGTGTGTATGCATATGAATGGAATGGTACTTTCTTATACTTTGAATTTGATTGATGCACATTTGCCAATAGAGTTAGACATTAATCAATATATTCTTTATAACAAAAATGACATATCTCTACCAATTTATAATACAAGTATTAAAACAACGTTAACTGGAAAATAACATCAGATAAATAAAATAACATAGCTCAGTATGAAAAAATTCCAACATTTTATAGAATATGAAAGTATTTTGGGTTAACACAAAGGTTGAAAGAGAGGGCTAAATTTCTTTAGGGAATTAATTTTGCAAATATAGGTGAATCAAGTAGCTTTCTCTGCAATCATACTCAGAGATAAGATTTGAAGTTGGCTGCGGAGATCAATCAAAAGGACCAAGGCAAGTTTACACAAGTGTAATTGATGCATAATCTGGTCTCAAACCATTCTGCACTTTCAGCTGAGTCCAGAAACTGATCAGTAATCAATACAACTGATGCAAAATTCAAGCATTGGCTTTACAATTCAGAATGGAACATGTACATGATCTTTCTTAATAAAATATAAAAATTATGCTGCTTTGATGGAAATAAATTTGATATATGTTTACAGTTAAAGGACCTCAAGAACGAACCATTTATGTTGAAAGCAGTTGCAACAAAATTTGACACTCAACCTTTGATGTTAGGGAAGTCTAATTGAGCCACATATGTTTCAAGATCCAGCATTTTCTGTGTATAGTTTATCACAGCAGTATTTTGAAAATTCCTGTCCACAGCAGTTAAGGCTAACAATGCAAAAGCAACAAGAATCCTAAATAAGATGACAGAGAAGAGCTTAAGTGCCAGCACCATACCTTTCTCAACCAGATAAACATGTGTATGTAACTTCTTTCCATTGAGTTCCTAGTTCAAATAACTATAAATGTTTTACAGACTTCACTGGAACCATAAGCAGGAAGCAATTAAATAGTGGAGCAATTCTGTTTCGATAGTACCATGAATCTTCAGTCAGTGGTGTTTATGCATTAAAATCATCTCCTCCCTTTTATTGTTCATTCAAAGGTCATCACCCTTAGCATTAATCATCCTTTCCCCTTCCCTCTTGAAATTATACATTTCTTTGTCAGTCTCTAAAACTCATATATCGTCACATATATCTGAAACATACTCCTACTCAAATGGTTTCATCTTACACAATTTTCTCATGTCCTGCATTACTTCATCTTGGGAAATTTTAAAAATTTCCTGTATACCTACAAAGAGAACTTGGTCCTTCCCCAACTGCAAATCTTCTATTTCATCCAAGCAGACTCTCCCCACCTCCTTTCCAAGGGCATTTTCCATCCATCCACACACAAAAACCTCCCAGCACATAAATAAAATACGTCCAAAATGTAACCCTCCCAAGTTTAGCACCAGTCCTTCAGCCTTTCTCGACCGTGGGTCCCCAGAGGTTCGTGGGCTATTATTCCAATCCAAGCCACCATGACTGAGGGTAAAGAATGAGCTGTAGCCCAACACCAGCTGTCTTTCCCCACAACTACAGCCTCAGTTGCCCTTGCCCGACACAATTCCCACCCCACTCCTCCATTTCTTCTCTCCAATTGTCCCTCCGCAAGAGGTCGGCCCCTCAACCTGCTTGTAAACGTCAGGATGCGATGTAAAGAATGCTTTTTTAAGAAGAAAAGTGTCTCTAAGCATGTACAGAGTTTCTTCGTCTGGCGAAGGCAAAACCCCGAATATATATGATTGCAGAAGCCTGGCTTTTCGGGAAAGCTAAATCTCCAGCCCTCTCCCCTTTCAAGATGCTGCACCCCATCGTCCCCTCACTAAGCCTCCCAGCCCCCTTCCTCCATCATAAGTTACGGCAGCCGCCTCGAGGACCGTTACCGTCCACGCGCGCCACCGCAAAACGCTCCCCGTCCGCCAAACACGAATGCTGTTGCGCAGGCGTCGTGGTTTGGCGCGGGGAGAGTGGGCGGGGCAGAAAAAGAAAGGCAAACTTGAGGGAAGATGGAAGAAGGGTAGCGCGCCTGCGCCCCGGGGCTCCAACGCTAAAACCACTGGTTTGCGCATGCGGTTACTCTAGCGCCGTTAGCAACTCTTTACCGTGCGATAAGAGAAAGAGAAAGAGAGGGAGAGAGAGATGGGAGGCATCGCCGCCAGTGGAGAAAGAACTTCTGCGCATGCGTTGAGGTCGAAGGCTTGTTTTAAGGTTTTGATAAGGCATGATGGGAATCGTAGTTATGGCCAGCGCTGAAACAAATTAGTGCCGCATTCTCCAACCTTGTCGAACTACAACTCCCCAAATGCACCAGGAGCCCTCCAATCCATGAAAGGCCCCAGTTGTAGAAGAGTTTGAATTCTAACTCACAATGACAATCATCATCATGATGTCTGAAGTTTACTGAAAAAAGGGCGGTCCCCGAGGAGGGGGGAATCCAAAAGGTCAAGATGGTGTTCACAACTGTGCAATCAAACCCCTGCCCCTTTTATATGTGGCACCCATTAAAAAGGGGCGGGGGTGATCATACGGTCACAGCTGCCGCCTGGACTTTTTTTGCCCCCCCTTGCAGATGCCCCTGGCAGCCCATCACCTCTTTTTTTTAAATTAATTTTTTATTAAAGAAGCTTTTTGCAAAGTAAAAATAATACAAATGTAAAGAAAAAAGTAAAGTAAAAAGAAAAGTGATAAGTAAATAGGAAAGAAGTGAAAGAAGAAAGAAAAAAAGATATAAAGGAGTGGCTTCTGATCTTCTTTACAGCAGTTATAAATGCATTTATATTTTATCAAAAAGTAAAGTAAAAAGAAAAGTGATAAGTAAATAGGAAAGAAGTGAAAAAGTAAAGTAAAAAGAAAAGTGATAAGTAAATAGGAAAGAAGTGAAAGAAGAAAGAAAAAAAGATATAAAGGAGTGGCTTCTGATCTTCTTTACAGCAGTTATAAATGCATTTATATTTTATCCTCTCTAAGGTTACATCATGGCTCCCTTGTTTCCATATTCTACCCTTTCTAATCTTCAAACCCATAAATCAAAAGTTCATTTTTTTCCCTTTTCAGCAAAAAGTCCATAAAGTGTTTCCAGTCACAAACAAATGTGGTTATTGTTTTTTCCCTAATCATCTTTGCAAATTCTGTCCTCTTCACCAACCATTCCTCCATTGTGGGTATTTCAGAGTCTTTCTGCAGCCCCTCACCTCTTCAGAGAAAGTAGATATAGAAAAATGGTTCTCCATTGCTCAACATCCTAGGTGCATCTGGGCATAATCATGCCAAGGCTGTTGGAAGGAAATAACTCTACAAGTCACTTAGAGATGCCATGGAGTTCACTAGAAGATGCAATGATAGTTGCCAATTTGGACAGCTTGAAAAGCTTGAATTTTATGGAGAAAGCTGCTGTCAATGGGTAGGTATTGTATTCTTGGCTGCCAGCTTGGGGAACAACATTCATTCATTCATTCTTCCTGCAAGATGGCGGAGGAACAGCAGTAAAATTCTTTGATTTGGCCTCTTCTGGATTCATGTTTAGTTTTTGTTTTCTTTTAGTCTTCCAGTTTAGTTTGCTATAAGCCAAATGGATTTTATTTTGAACTAAGACTTCCAACTAGTACTGTATATTCATTTTCCTGCTCTAATTATCTGACATCTGTGCCTCTTTCATCTATCCTGGTGAGAAAAAGAAGAGAGTGCAAGCAAACTCTGGACATGTAAGCTCTAGAAGAGCTCTGAAGCAACTAAAAATGGATGAGCTGGTCCCAAACATGGACCTCATTCCAGTAACTGGAGATTGTATTATAAATAATCAGTTTGAGCTTTATTAGGAAGACTAAACATGCAGCAAATAATCAGGATTCAAACCACCCTCACCTTCAGCTGAGTTCTTGTCCTCGAAATGGCAACTGAACAGCCCTGACAGTAAACAGTTGCATACATTTTTAACAAGTGTTTCTAGATTGATCTGTTGACAAATCAGTGTTTTTTGTAACTGTGAATTATTCTAATGATTTTTAACAAGAAGCTTGACACCCTTTCTTTAAATTACCTTCCCAAACATATTCTGGTTTCTGCAGAGTTTCCACTTACACCAACTGAAGAAATGGACCTGCCTTTAAGAGCTACCTCCTTCATCCTTTTCTGCTAACTTTGATACCTCTAAGTATGTTCTCAAATAACTCTTAACATTCAAATGATGCTTATCATTAGGAGCAACAGCATCAATAGACATGTGGGTTTTTCACCCACCCAAGTTGCCTTCTCTCTAAGCTAGCTGTTGTACATTCCAATTTGTCAGGTCAGTTTAGATGCTGTGGAGTGGCTTCCTAAACATGTAAATAGACTTAGGGGTCTACTTAGGTTTCACTCTTCAGCCATCTACCCCATGCTAATCAAAATGAGGAACTGCCCAGCTTCCTTTCACATTTTTCCAGTCTAGATTTTTCTAGATATGAATGTTAAACTTTGCTCTATGTCTCACAGTATAGGCATCATGCCAAGCCCAGTAATAATAAAGTGAAGCTAGCTAATGACTTCAGATAACCTTGAGAAGCAATGGACGAGCCTCCTAAATGGATTTTTTAACTCTTTCATCTCCCTCTGCTCTTCCAGAAGAAATCAAAGTCATTCACTCTTTTTCACAAGTCTCAGGAAAAGAACAAACTATCATATACAGAGACTTAAGGTCT